TAAAAAGAAAACCCATGAAACATCACCACCACATCATTTAGGAAGATTAGAAAGAAAACCCAAGAAATCTGCACCGGGAATTTTAACGACCTCAAAGTTTTAATATGCTCTTTTTCAGAACCTGCAATTTTTTCTGTTAATTTCATTGTTTTAGATTTAATTATTTAAAAAGTTTTATCAGTTATTGAGTACGAGAACAGACCCATAGTTTCCCATTATCATTTGAAAGAAATATGCAAACAAAGGGCTGAAACTTGTCACTTGCCAAGGCCAAAATTTTCAATGACCTTTTTCATAACATATAAACTTATTTTTAACTACAATAAGTAAAAACTTGTTTGTTACTATAAGAGAAATATGTATGCTTAAGTTCTTATAAAACATTTAATTTCAATCTTAAATTACGTTTACATTTTACCGGATTTCGTTAACCCAGTGGGTTTCAATTGTCAATTTCATTGTATACATGTCAAATAAATGCACATAGAATGGGTTAACCATAACAGATATTTCACATAAATCCCCATAGAGGAGGTTAACCCGTCAACATGTTCTAATGTAAATGTCGTTTTCTGATATTATGCCATAATTTCAAAAAAAAAAAAAAAAATAAGGTACGTTCGTTTTTGTTTTATATATTTTGTTATGTTATAAAGCCCAAAACACTGTAAGAAATTAAAAAAATAAAACATTTTGAGACAATGTAGAAACTGGACCACAAATCAGCTGATGTCACATCTGACCACAAATCAGCTGATGGTACTTGCAGACCTTTACTATGTAAATTTGTCCAGCAGGAATGTCAAATCTGTTCTCCCTCTCTCAAATCACTTTCTTTTGCTGATTTTTGAGTAAACATTTGTACAAATTATAAAGTAAAGTGTTTGGCTATCAATTGCATTTTCATAAGTGAATCCTATAAATTCTGTATATATTATTTTATTCTAAAAATTGTCATAGTTAAAAAATATCGTATGGACTTTTTTATTATTATAACGAACTGATTTTTTTTATAAATTTCAAGATTTATTACCCACAAATATTTAGTCCTAATTCACATTAGGCAATATCCTGTTTCCTATTTTTTTTTTTCAATCTATCGCAGAGGCTAAAAGGCTGAGACAAGACCTTATTATTGGAATTTAGAAACCAGAGTCTACTAGAAATATAAGTTTTCAAAAAAATGTATTCTAAATAAATATAAAAAGCTCCTAAGCTAATTTCATTGAAAACATTTTGAAAATTATTATGCAAAAAAATTAAAATATACTAAGCGATATTTTTTTATATTAAATTTTCATCAGCAGTATTCGATAGCTGAATATTGTAAAGTTATTTGTGTGCGGTGTCTAATCCCAAGGAGGAAGCCCTCTTATCAATTAAAACGACAAAGTGCTTAATTTTCAAATATTATTGAGTTATATGTTCGTACCATCGAACTCCAATATGAGGGAAAACCAGAATACGTATATTCTCCCTTTAACAAGGTCTAAAAATTTATTTTTTTTTTTATTTTCGACTACCCACATGATATTTACCAAAACTACAAAACAGCTAATATTTTAAAAAAATATTTGTTGAAAAATATTTTTTATAATGTATTAGTATTTTTATTTTAATTATAAACTATAAATGGACACTATATCTTTATATTGTATTAAAAAAACAACTATGGATAATTTTAAGCAGATCGAAAAAATACAAATACCACTAAAATATTATAAAAATTTAATTTCAATAATTTCTGTAACACATAAAACAACAAATACATGTGTATAAGTTTTATATACAAACAACAAACCATAGAGAGCACAAAATACATAGATATCTACAAAAATATATGCATACATATATTTTCCCCAAGTATGTTATACACCCACTAATAAAATATATTAATTTAAGTTATTATAATTTGAAATACAAAAACCAAAAACTAGTATTTAACAAATATTTACAACCACAAAAAAAAACAGAAATTGTGAGAATTATAATCAAAATGTAAGTGAAAACAAATAAAATCCAAAATATATATTTTTAAGGTAACCTTAAATATTTACACACAATAAAATAAAATCCAAAAATTTGTACGTAGTATATAGTATATAAAAATAAGTGATATTAAACAATACATACACACACATATTTTAATAGACACTATACAATAAGTTACAATAATAATTATAAGTAGTTTTTAACATACATTTAAGTAGTTAAATAAAAAAAAGATTATTTATAATTTTGTAAGGACAAATATATGATAAAAAATGAAGATATTCAATAATTAGTTCTAAACATGTTCATTAAGTCTGAATTTTATAAAAATATATCATTATAGAAAAGCAAATATGAAATTTATAAGAAATTTCTTGAAGGCAAATAAAACTGTATTTGATAAGAAAAAAATTGTAATAAAGTTAATAATTTATGAATATTTGAAATAATTTGATTTTTTTATTGGGCAATAAGGGTATGGGCAAATAATGCATTTTAGGGATATACCAAGGTAAATAAACTAAAAACATTCCAAACTACCCAGATTTCATTAAATAAACCGTAAAAAATATAAATTATTTTGTACTTACATATGATATGTTGGCCTACAGGTATGTCATATCCAATGATGATAGCTCAATCCCTTCGGAAATGTGTTTCAGATTATATTGGCACAAATATTTATTTTATTTTAATTTGCTGAAAAAACCCTTCTCAAAATGTTAAACTGTCAACAATTATTAAGGACCCCAAAATGCAATTGCCATCCTAAAATATAAAAATATTAATAAAATGTGTAGAAGCATATGTTTTATTATTAGTATGTTCCCGTACTGCAAGAATCTACTCGATTTTACTATTTTCTTCGATATCGTAAAGGAAAATTCGTTATCGTAGTAAAAATTAGTAGATTCTTGCAGTACGGGAACAGACCATATTAAATATTTATAAACGTGGGGGTATTATTTATACTTACATGTGATATGACGATTTATTGTTTCGAAACTTTCAATAATTGCACAACAATATAGATGAGCTTATTATACATCTATTTTTTACAATTTTCTTAATATCTAACCATTTTGCGCCAAAGGCAACATCTGACTGATTACCAAAGCTTTTCAAACTGGAAACATGCATTATATACCAATACTGAAAACTATGAAAACATTTGATTAACGACATGGCAGACAAGGAGAGAGTGAACAAGCTAATGTTCGTTTTTATACTTACTGCGTTTATTCTCAATATTCCACACAATGGTTTTATAATAATTATAAATATGGATTGTTTTTTATTCATTCTATTTATGCTAATTGTCTGGTTTTTGTCATTAAATAACACTGCCTTCTGCATACGTATCAATCCGTTAATCATTCCTTTTCACAGATATCAGCTTTTGCATATACATATATTACAGTTTACATAGCATTAGGTTTATCTCAGTAATCTATTACAACTAGAATGGAGCGAAGAAAAAACAATTGGAAATACGTGAATTTTGGTGTTTTTCGGACAATTTTAGTGTTTGTAATCGGTAATTTTATTAATTGTGAAATAAAAAAATGTTAAAATGTGAGAAAAGTACGAGACAACGACAAGTGAGTAAATATATCCTTCATTAATTATAAATGTAGTGTATACTCCAATTGATCTTTGCACATAACGAAAAAAATTATGTTGGGGCAGGATTGAATTTGCATGCCATGATCGAGAATGACTAGAAAAATTGGACACCATTGGGTGGAGTGTATATAAAAATTGGTCATTTCGTCTGCTAAACCTCGAAATATTCACGTTATATATCATGATATGTTCTTGATCAGAATAAAATTCTATGTCGATTTAGTCATGTCTGTCTGTCTGTTGAAATCACAATAGAGCCGCAATATTTATGATATAGTTTTGGAAATTTTCACATATATAACTACTACTCGTAGAATGTTTGGTATTGAAAATGGAATATTTTGGTAATTTAGTATTTATTCCATCAACCTTATGGGTAATGTGTCGTCGAAATATTGTTTTCTTTGGACCACAATTTGTAGTCGATTTACAAATGACCGTCCGTTCGTCTGGTCGACTGTTGCGCACGGTAACTCTCGAAGGGAGAATTTCTTGCATAATCTGCAACAACATAATAGTTATTCTAAATTTAGATCAATTTCGAAAATGGAGGATATCCAATCCCATCTGATTTGAACTTAATTTTTGAAGAAACTAATATTTCAACCATGGCTGTATAATGTTGAAGGATGGGACTTATCGGCCCACTTCTAGGATCTCCCCCAACTTTATGAAGTACGTCATCTAATTGAAACCATTTCTGGTCTTCTATGAGAAAACCTTTCAGGTCATTATGAGCAGACACATTTCATTCAGTACTTCTATGAAAAGGCTCCCTAGTATCTCTATGAATACATGCTACTACATCTCTGTGGAAACTCACATAAGGAGACGTTTCTAGTCTTCTATGAGATCTACTAGGATTCATATTTGATTTTCAACTAATAAAAGTTTCTGGTCCTCAACAAGAAGACCATTCAGACCTATTAAAATATTTAATCGTTTTCTATTCCGGTCTTCAATTAGGTCTTAGATCGAATCATAGCATAACGTAATTATATTAATTTACCCAGAATGACATAAAAAAATAATTTCCCCTCTATCAATGTAATGCACTTTATGGCCCTATTATTATTTGTTGTTTTCCAAAAATAATGGCATCCTTTAACACGTTCAATATTTGTAATTCGTTTATTTATTCTTTGCAAGTCTTCGAGAATAACATTCATATTTTTTTTCAAATGCTGTACAAGTTTTACATCATTGTAGAAAATAGAAATTGTTGAAATTAAACTTAAGCTTTAAAGCAGTATCAAAAAACACACATAGAAACACGTACATATATACTTATTGCAACAGAAATGGAACTATTATTTGTGAGTGAATAAAGACATCATCATTATCTCTAGGCAGACATTTGGTATACAAAAAAATAGGCACAACTAATCATAATACCAATCGAGGAATAATAAAGATAATGACATAACCAAAAGGAAGAATAAAGACCAAACGCGTAGGCCAGCATTGCGTTGTATGGCTTGTTTGATTTGTTCATTGGCATCTTTGACATTTTCTGTGCTACCAATGACAGCATTGATGATGCGTTCAATATTGTGTTGTTGTAAGGTGACCTAATGTTAAACAAAAAAATTTAATAATTTTACTAGGAAGCATATTGATATGATGCACATTACCTTTTCTGTAAATATATCCTGTAATGTTGCAATATCGACCACATTCTTCTCAATGGCCTCCACCTCTTCCGATAAGCCCTGCAATTCATGATACAATTGCAGATTTTCCTCCTCAAACATTTGTATATCTTCTGGGCTAAGACTTTTGGCAGCATCTTCAACATTTTGTTCCGACTTTTGTATGTCCTCATCTAAGGCCACTTGGGCTTTAGTATCAGCCGAAAATGAGCTGTTGCTTAAATTGGAATTATCGTGGGATTTATTGCCAGACGAAGAGGATGTAGGTACAGTTATATCATCCTCATCAAGATCCCAGCCATCGCCACCACCACTAACAACATCTGTGTCCGAAATTTGCTCTGTTCTTCCCGTCGTCGTCGTCGTATCCCATTGTAAATCTTTACTCGAGGTAGATGAAACGGTTGAGGTTTTCCTTGACCTTTGTTCACCAGCCGGCCGAACTGGTATTTTCTTTTTGTCCGATGCCAATTTCAAGAGACGATATGTTTCCAGTTCATGCTGGACGCGATATTTCTTCTGTTCCAAATAGATTTGTTGCACAGACTTCAAATAGGCTGTCAGCAAATCCAGCACTGCCTCCATGTGTTCCTTCTGTTGCGGTTTTCGTTTTGCCTTTTTCCAATCGTTACGCATTTGCCCTAAATACTGTGTATAGAATGTTACAAATTTCTCCGATTCCCTATCGATTAAATCTCTCTGTTCATCCGTCATCTGGACGGCACTTTTCAGATGTTGTCCTATACGCATATAGGCTGAACGATTCTCGATTAGAACATTACGTAGTGTTGTGATTTTATTGCACACATCCTTGGCCTGTTTGGAGAATTCATCCCGCTGACCATTGACATTTGTTGTGGCCTTTTGTGGCAGTATTCTCTTGTGGGCTTCCAATTCACCTTTACGTTGTAGCTTGACGGTCATGACACCGGCCTTAAATAGGTGTGTTATATCCATTGCTATGGGAATTTAAAGAGAATTATCGGCGTGTCTTGGGTATGGATTCTAAAGGAGTGCTTTTTGTTAAACACAACTCCCTTTTTTAAACAAAAATATAACTTAAGGCAAATATAAATTAACTACATTTACTCTAGCAGATTAGGTTTTGTTGACACATCACTAATTCTTGATTTCTGCTGTTTCGCCATGAACATGTTAAAATTTTCTATTCACTAAATGGAAATGGTCAGAAATAGAGACAAATTGTTCTCTGTTTATTAAACCATATATTTATTTTTGGCTTTACGGGAGATTAATTATAAAGTATGGTTTTATCATTACTCTTTCCCTATTTATTCCATTAATATACATATGGAATATACCGTGTGCTATTTCGGACTTTAATACACATGTATGATATTAAGTTGAACTAGTCCGGTTTGTTCCTTTTGATTCATTTCGTTCATGCAAACATATGTCAACGTCCCAGCTGTACGTTAAATAAAACAGTGTTGTAAAGTGACGTTATGTGTAGAACAGTCAATTTGAAATAAACGCAAAGCCATGTTAAAGAATTGCTGTTAAATAATTAACTATTTAAGGCCAGAATAATAAGAAATTGATACCTAATATGTAAACTACCATTAAAAATTTGAAACCGGAGTTATAAAAAATGTATTCCAAAGTTGTAGTTGTTGTATACGCATGAAAGAATTTTTATTGTGTCCAAATAATTTTTAGAAATCCATTTTTTATTATTGTTTACTTTTTCGCGAAGTAATTCTTTGTAGAAGATGAACATGTTAAAACAAAAACCATCTGCTAAAACAGCTGTCGGGTCTTCCAAAAAAAATCCATCCGATCTTCTATAAGAATGATCTTCTCTAACAAGACGAATATATAAAATGCAGGCTGGGGTAGGTACAAGTACAAATGTCTAAAACTCAAATGTCCATCGACTCTTCTTGGCAAAGAATAAGATGTGTTTGGAAAAACTTGGAACTTCTCTTTTTCGCAAACATAAAGCATAATCGTTAGAAGTTTTATTTAAGGGAACCCCCCCCATTCTCGATTTTATTTTTTCAAGATTTTCAATGGGCTGGTAAATCAATACCAATGCTTGTTAAGGAAGATCTTCACCGATTGGCTTCATCCTAGTTCATACGAGAGCTATACACTCCCAGAGAAACGTCGCAAAATTTGGAACCGATTGGATTATTAGTTTTTAGAATCGTGCCCGCCATTCGCAAAAAAATGTTTTAGAAAAACGCGTTTAAAGTTTGAGAAGCCCTCAATTGCCGTCACTTGATGCTGACACAATATATAAAATATATCTTCAACAGTTCTTGAGATTTTCACTTGAAATATGGTAGAGACATTCTTTAATTAGTGTAGATTCGAATTATATCAACAAAAATTTTGACCCCGAGAATGGGGGGGTCCATTTAACTGATTAGGCTTTCAGACTTAATATAGTAATGGTCCCCTAAAGCCGAACAAATTCTTCCGATTGACACAAAATTTGGTAGAGAAAGCCGACATGAGACTAGAATGTAATTTATCAAGTTCGATTTAAAAGGGTTACAATTTAGATATAGATCAGATATAACTTCGCCGGATTTGAAGGTAAATGATACAGCAAGGAAGCAAATCGAGACTATATTTCAATTGATATAATTAGGCTCCTAATGATATCAACGTACATATCTTATACCACCTTTATGGCCATTAAAAATATCCCAATGTATCCCTAGAAAAAATAACAATAATTTTTGTCAAAAACTTTTTTTATTTTTGCTTTTATTTTTTGTGTAGTTTTATTAAACCGTTATATTTTTCTTGTTGTTGTTTTTATTACATTATATGTGTTTTTGTTTTCAACTTCTGTATATATTTTAATTTCATCAACTATAAGCTAATTATATAGATAATTGTTGTTGTTTTTTTAATATTTTGAAAATGTATTAAATTGTAAAATTTTTATATTTTCGATTTTAAATATTAATTAAAAAAAATTAAACAATGTTTTATTGGCAAACAAAAGTGCAAATATTTTTGTTGTAAGTCCATTTTGTTGTATAATTTACCATATTAAATATTAAAAAAATTATAATAATAAATTAATTAGGATTCCTTATGAAGGGGGTGGGGTGGTGGATGATGAAAGGTGGTAAAAACAAAAATTTGCCAAAACTCATATTAATTAAAAAGAAGAAACTAGTATTTTATATATTGTCTGTCCCTAAACTATACATAGATCATATATTTATATATAATTATTAATATTTTTCCATTAGATTTTATTTTGAAAGATTTTTTTTTTATTTCAAAACACATAGCCAGCAATTCGTTCAACTTTTTGTGGAATAATATATTATTCACAATCCCCATCAAGACTCCTTTTAGTTTCGTTTGACATAGCTGAAGATGAGGTTTTGCAGGCAAACTATTTCATTAGGTTTTAGTTTTGTTGTTACATGTTTTCGGGATTTTTTTCTATTGTAGCCTTCGTTTTTTCTTTTTAATCTTTCATTTCAATTAAAAAATGTTTCTCTGTTGATTTTCATATTTTTTTTTACAAAATAATAGCTGTATGTATATATATGATTTTTTTTTTTGTTTTTATTTTTATTAGTTTTCTTTTTAATGTTATAAAATAGTTTCTTTTCAAATATAAATAATAGGTTATAAATTGCATATTTTTTAATAATATATTTTTTTACATTTTATTGTATTTTGAAAATATTTTCAGTTTTGGTAATAGTAATATAATAATTTTTTAACTTAGTTTTTATTTAATTAATTGCATTATTATAATGTCAAAAAATACAAGCAATAAATTAACACATGTTTTTTTCAATATTTATATTGGATTTTTTTTTTTGGTAAAATGAAAAATAATAATTATTTTTTTGTATTAATTTTTGTGTTGTGTTTAAAAAAAGAAATAATGAAAATGTTTCATAAGAAAATTGATTTTTCTTCAGTTGAGCTTTTTTTTTAAAAAAATTTGAATTTAGGTATTTTTTTTATGAAATTGGCCTGGGATCTCAGAGAATATTGCCCGACGTATATATGAGAACATCTTGATGGTATTTTATGAACGTCTTCTATGAAAAGTCCCTTCCATTTTTTTTTATTAGAATACCTTCTAGCTTTTTTATGATTAGACACATCGGTCTTTTGTGAGTAGAAATGTTCTGGTCTTTTTTGAGACGACATTTCTCATAAATTCAAAAATTCCTAGGAGGTTAGAAGTAACTTGCCATTAATATAAGTTATTTTTATACAATTTTCAAGAAGTTGGAACATTTTTTCTTTGAGAAAAAATTTGAGAAACCGTTTTTGACGTTCCAGTTTTAATTTGTATTTGATTTTTAACTGATGACATTTCTTTACATTCTCAAATCGTTACCTCCTTTAGACACAAAAAAATTGTTCGCCAACTCTCAAAATGACGAATTTTTTCTCAGGCCGGAATTTTTATTTTCGCTGGAACTCAGCCTTTTGTTGTTGCTTTTTTTGGCGGAACATTTCTATGCCCTATGTGGAATCTTAAAATGTTTAGGACTACTTCATATGGTTGTGTTTCCCATGACAGGATGACATGTTTCTGCAAACTCATGTTATCTCCCGCCAGGGAAAATCCACATCTTTAAAATTTAAATTTTTTGTCTTTGACTGACAATTTTGACAGAGTTCATCTGGCATAGACTCACACTCCACTTTTATTGTTGGCCGAATGAGACTCATGTAAAATGTTTTGCTATTGCAGAAGATGATGAAGAGATGGTATCACCCCATAGTCCTAAAGAGTTTGTAACCTTTCCCGATTTTTGTTGTTGTAGCAACCCAACTGTTGTTTACCCAATATTCTGAGGTGTGACAATCGTGGGCTGAGTAAATCTGCAGACGTTTCGGATCGGGGTTGCCATTTTTGTCAAGGTTCACATTGGACTTAAGTCCACTTAAGGGTGGATCTTCGTGCGATTACAGTTTCCACATCATTACAATTATAATTTTCTTCAGGCTGAATCAAAAATATTGTAAATATTAATTTGTTTATTTCATTTCTGCATTTTCCATTGGAATCTAGTGTGGAATCAAATTTCTTTACTATTCTTCTTATATTTTATAAAATTATCATTCAATTTAGAAAATACATTCGGCTAAGTCTTTACAATTTTTATTTAATCGCTTTGCTAACCGGGTTCTGATCTTTACTGGAACAATTTATATTTAGTATGGAACATTATTGTTCTCACAACACACCATAAGGAAGACACCGGCAAACAAGTTCCTTTAGAGTTCCATATGTTATAAATTTTGTCTCTTGATTCCTATGGCAATCATGTTTACAACTCTACTGAAGCATTTCACTGTCTATTATTGGACAATGAGCTCGTTGTAAAACATTCCAAGGTTTTGTTATTATTTTTGCTTTTGCGCATATGTTGTGGCTTAGAAATTATCCCAAATGCTAAAATATTTTAAATTCATTCGGTGAACTTCCTTCAATTTGGAATTCTCCATAGTACATTGTATGGTTCTAGCCTTTACATCTTTTTATGGATTTCTTCAGTTTTTCATATAATCCTTTTTTTTCTTTTTTTTTAAAAAAAAAATTACGACTTCTATGCTGCATTAAAGTTATTCACACTCATGGTTTGGCCTTTAATCTGGATCACCTCTTATTTTAATGCCTTAACATGATCTCTTAATTGCTTTATATTTTCAGCCTGCATAAATAGGTTCCAAACAAAATTGAGAATTAATATTTAGATTGATAATTTGACATTCTCACCCAAATTCTCATAGCCATATTTACATTTGATTATAACATGCCTTGTGGTGTATTCCCATTTCATAATTTGTATACCTCTCGGCTTTTTCAACACTCTGCTGCTGTAAAGTGTTGCACATCTTCTCATTCCACAAGGCCAATTTCATTCATTTTCTTGTAATACCAATTTCTGTATTTCTTCTTGAATTTTTTTTTTTCAATATTTTCCATGGTTTTTTTTCGTTCTGTTATTTAAATTATGTTGCTTCTCATTATACACCGTAATGTTCGTGTGTGTGTGTGTGTTTATGTATAGAATTCTAAATCTAAAAAAGGGAAAAAATAAACAAACTATTTCATCAGATTTTTTGTTTTGTTGTTGTATTGTTTCTTTTTTTGTTTTTAATCCAAATCAACACTATCCATTCTTTCAAAGCCAAATATATTGTCGGAAGTAGGATTTGAACGTTGTTGTTGTTGCTGCTGTTGTTGACTAGAAGCACTGCTGGCACTATTGCTGCTGCTGCTGGTACCTGGTTGACCATCCTGATGATTACGATATTGATGAGACGATGACGCCGTACCACTTTGCTGCTGATGTATGGGACATGTTGAAGAATTTCCCGCAGCAGTAGATGTTGCTGTTGATGACGCCGATGTACTCTGGTGCTGATCCTCAACAACATCCATATGGACATCATTATCTTCTTCTTCCTCCCCGTTCAATGATTTGCGGCAAATAGGACATGTACCATGCAATTTCAACCATGGCACAATACATTCCTCATGATAGACATGTGAACAGGGTAGCTTTCGTACCATTTCTTGTATTTTGAAATCTTCCCAACACACCGAACATTGCAGTTTCCGTTCAATCTCCTCTGGGGTTATTTCAACTTTGGGTATTTCATCGATTTTATCCTTGGCCAATGGTGGCGGACCTGATGTTTCCATTTGATTTAATAGCTGGGTAACTATGGTATCTAAACCTTCACGACCCCAAGCATAATCACCCAAATTTCCCATAAATAAAAATTGTGAATTATCGAAGGGATTCATTTCACCGTCAGCACCACCACCGCCACCACCCACCGATATCGATTGCAGGAAATCAAGCAAAACATTATCCAGACCCAAACTTTGGGGACGTACACGGCCACCACCAGTTGTCACCGAGGGTCCCAGCGATACAATTCCCCTAGGTGGTCTTGACAAGGCTCCAGGATTGATGTTAATTTCCAAGTTGGGTCCATTACGTGAGGCCAATAAATTGGCAATTTGTCCTCGTAACGCCTCTAACTGCAGTTCGTCATTGTTAAAGCCAGCATTGTTACTTCCACTACTGCCGCTACCACCACCGCCGCCGCCGGCATTGGAGGGTGCAGCATTTGCAGCAGCTGGTGGTAGTTCTTCAACAAAGCCTCCCGAACATATGGGACATGTGTAATCGGTGTTGGAAATATTGATTTCCTCGTCACATTTATGACAATAGAAACGAGGTTGTACCGGTGGTCTTTCTTCTACCACAGCTTCGGCCATAGCTTTGTTCTTCTCCAAACAGCTAAATCACAATCTGCAGTTTTATTATTTCACACCACAAACAAAGGGCGCCGGTGTTGGCTTGATTTGCAAATTATTTTTCCCACACCTGTCCGGGGGTCGTTTTCTCTTTCGTGTTTCGTTTGTTTTATTTCTGTGTTGTTCTTCCTTCAATTGAATTGATTTGTTTGTTGAATGTGCCCTTCCCTTTTGTTGGATGGCTGACTGGCTGCAGGCTGGTTGACTGTTGGTGTGTGTTCTCTGCTGCGTTCACTTCTTGTTGATGAGGAAGATTAAAATTAGTTCTTTTTTATTTCAATATTCAATTGTAGTTGTTTGTTGTAATATTTGTTTTTGTTGTTACCCTTTCGACTGACAACGACGACGTTGTTGTTGGTGTTGCTGTGGTATTGCTATTATATCGCTTTACTTCTAACAATTGAAACCACACACTCACTCACTGGCTGACTGACTGACTGTTTCTATAGTTTCATTTTCACAACTTGTCTGATTTTCGTTTCGTGTGTCGCCCCTCACAAATTGCACCTTCTTTTCTATTTGTCAATTTATAATCTATTTTTTTTTTATTTTGTCACGTCAGGCTTCGTGTTATTAAACGAATATATTTCGTGGCTATTTTTTTAATGTTTTTAACAGTTGTTTTTTGGCCAATGTCGGTAATTATTTTTCCGATTTATTTAATTCCTTTGATTTTTTGCAATGATAGTAGGCAGAGCGAGAGCGACAGGAGAGCGAACAATGCAAATCACCAAGAACGAAGAACATTTTGACATTCTTGTCAAAGAGCGAACAGCGTGTCAGTGTAGTTAGTAAAACGTAACGTAACGTAACGTACGTTTGATGTAAACATCTGCGATTTGCAAATTTTGGTAAAGGAATACATTTTTGCATCATATTTTGGAAAGATCAGCTGTTACTTTTGTATTCAAAGAAAAATCACATTGTTTTGGGATAAATGATGCGATATTTATGTTATTTTAAAAATGACGACATGCCATTAAAAATGAAAAACAATATTAGCCAAATGGCCACCACGAGCACGCTTACTGGGACCATATACTTTTCATAAAATGTAGCATAATGGCAAAGTGGTTGTCTTCTATCCTCAGTAGAATCGCGAATTCCATAATTGAAGTCTTGACATAAGGCTGTTGTCTCACCCAAATAGAGAAAGAACAAACAACATGTAGACCCAAACGTTGTTGACCTACACGGCCACCACCAGTTGTCACCGAGGTTCCCAGCGATACAATTCCCCTAAGTGGTCTTGACAAGGCTCCAAGATTGATGTTAATTTCCAAATTGGGATCATTACGGGACGGCAATAAATTAGCAATTAGTAGCCATATCGCCTCCAATTCTTGTCTCGGTTCCCTGAAATAGTTAAATGATGTTATTTTTGAACATGTGTCTACTATTTGTTTGTAGATGGAATCGGATGTTGCATATTGGAAATGGAAAATAATGGATGGTTATTGGTTTATGTGTGGAGTGACGGGAATAATGGGAAGGGTTGTGTAGCGGTAAGACATTAGGTTGGAAGCTGCAAAAAATTCGCCACTTCTATTGGTCTCAGTCACAGAGCAATAGGACAAAGATCTGTGGGCAGGACTGGACATACAAATAAATGACCTATATCATGTGGGCCCTCGCTTGATACACATATAAGATGACTGACTACGATGACCGAAGTTGCTCTAAGATGGTTCTGGTTCTTCTGGGCAGGGTCTTCTCAGCTTCGGCTACCGTTGAAAGTTGACATTTAAGGACACGATTTGGTTCATGCTCTTTGACAGTTTGCTGGAATATTTTAGTGTGAACAGTTTTCAGCGAGGCATCTTGTGACAATCCGTCGATGTCGGATGCAATGACTTCCTGAATGTCATTGCTGTATCCCTTGATGTCCTTCCACTTATCGTTGTTGTTGTAGCAGCCCTATTGCTTTTACACAATGGGCCGAGGTGACAGACGTTGACCTAGTATAACTCGGGTCGTTTCGCATCGTAGACCCCTCTGTCATGGAAACGTCCAATTGTCGTTGTAGTCACTGCTGTTATCACCGCAGCCGACACTGGGGGTCGTTGAAAATGAAAGCATTTTTGAAAGTGAAAGCGAACGAAGTTGATCTTCATATATTTTTGTGAAATTATTATACACACAAATGTCTTGTTCTTCCTTAAGCGAGAACCTTTTATAAACTTTGTTTTACTGTTTTATGACAAATAACTAGCAATTGTTAAAAGCGAAGTGATTATTTTTTGTAATTCTGGTCCGTTTAATTTCGAGATTATTAGGTTCTTAATAATCCCACAAAAACTGTGCTGATGGATTGAAACGACATTTAAACTTCATATACATTAGAACTGTTTACCGGGTTAACCTACTTTATAAGGATTTATTTAACATATATGCAAATGAATTGACAATTGAAAATCCCTGGGTTAACGAAATCCGGTTAAATGTAAACGTACCATTAAATTATAACTTTTAGGAGTGTTAACCTTCTTTATGAGGATTTATTTAATAAGTGTTCAAAGGAATTGGCAACTAAAACCCACTGGATTAACTAAATCTAGTGCAATGTGAACGTACTATTATTCGTTTTCAAACTACAGTGGGCTTTAGTAATAATTTTATTTTATATGTGGACTTTTGGATCAATACATTTTTGGTTATCCGAAGTCAAGATGATTTTTCTATGGAATTTCGGTTCATTTTGATGCATTTCATGGACTACAGCAGCAGCATTTTCAGTGTTTTTTTGAGCGATGTGCACGGTTTATATTTTTCACTGAAGCACACATTTGATTATAGGCCATTTAACAGACATTTGATCCTTGAAACATTAAATTATAAAAAAAAGTATGCGCTATTTGAACGCCTAGTACTTTCCTTGCAAAATACTCAAGTCACCCCCAAACGATATGGCATCTCGTCTCTGACTGTCAGTGTTGTTCAACAAAAGTAGTTTGCAAGCTGTCAAATCATTTTCGGCTGCACAGCAACCCTAACGAAACAAAAAGTCATCGTCTTTGGAACAACCGCTGCGGCATTTGTTTTGCAAAAAAATTATTGCAAATCATTTCGAAATTTTAACAAAAAGTTTGCATTTTCTTTAATAAATCCATAACAAAATGTCTATATTGGCATATAATGGCGGTTGTGTTGTAGCAATGCGCGGCAAGGATTGTGTTGCCATTGCCACGGATCGTCGTTTCGGTGTCCAGGCCCAAACCATTGAGACCGACTTCGAAAAGGTGTTCCAATTTAATCCACGAATGTTTGTCGGTCTAGTTGGCCTGCAGACTGATATCCTCACAGTGCGTGACAGGCTAATGTTCCGTAAGAATTTGTATGAAACCCGCGAAAATCGTGAAATGCAACCAGCACGTTTTGCTGCTATGCTTTCGAGTTTCCTGTACGAACATCGTTTTGGACCGTATTTCATTGAACCGGTTATTGCTGGCTTGGATCCAAAGACAATGGAACCGTTCATCTGTAATATGGATCTGATTGGTTGTCCAAATGTTCCCGATGATTTTGTTGTGGCTGGTACATGTGGTGAACAGCTGTACGGTATGTGTGAAACACTGTGGAAACCCGATTTGGAACCCAATCAATTGTTCGAAGTTATATCACAGGCAATGATAAATGCCTTTGATCGTGATGCCATCAGCGGTTGGGGTGCCACCGTCTATATTATTGAGAAAGACAAGATTACCGTGAAGACATTGAAGACTCGTATGGATTAGGAGGAAGAAGTGGTCTATGGAAATTTGCGAAAGATTGGAGAGTTGGTATTGTCCCAAACCACCTCATTTCGCATTCTATATATAATTTTGTAATTAATACTTATTTTTGTATAAGCAAAGGTCTTGGATTGTCCATTCGAAATGTGAGCGAAACTAAAAAATAATAATAAATTTTTGTTTTAAACAAAAACTTTTTGAAAAGTGATTGTAATTTTAATTAAAAAGGTTTTGTAAAAAGATACATTTTTTTATTTGTAACACTTTGCAGAAGACCGCTTCGGAGTCATGCATCTACTGGATTTCGAAGACGTCAAATATTGGCTGTCAAATCTTTTGGTTAACTCGAAACATTGGACCGATTGTTGTGCGAAGGGGACCGAGTTTAGCTCTTATTGATCAGAAAAATTTATGGAATTCCATTTTTTGATTAAGGTCCTAAATTTCCAATTAATTTTCCCCTTTTAAACTTCCTTTTTTTAAAGGTCTTTGCCATTTTTCCATTTTTGGTTAAGGTCCTAAATTTCCAATTAATTTCCTCCTTATAAACATCATTTTTTAAAGGTCTCAGCCCAATTATAGAATCTCAATTTCTTCCATCCGAAATTTATGATATTCCGCATACTAGCCAGTACGAAATGTTAATGTGTGGGTCATGCTTCTCTTTTAGTATAATTTCAGTATTTCAAGGATTCTACACGGTTGACATTCCTGTCTTGGTCTTGAATTGGCAAAATAACAAAATAATCCGCTTATAAAATTCCGGCCAATTGTTTTAGTATTTACAATATTTTTGACAACTTTTATAGACGATTTTTGGTATAGCCTACCATTCCTTCATATTTGTTGGTCCATGTCAATGGTAAACTTCTTTCCACAACAGACAGGACTCACTTTTGGTATGAAACCCAATAACCTTTCGACAAAATTTACGAAAGTTACAAAATAAAACTGATACAAATATGTATGTATAAATTTATTATTTTTTTGTCAATCATAATTAAATAAATATATTTTTTTCTTTTTTTCACAATTTACACAATCATAGAAATTACATCAATTTTGTTTTCTTCTTAAAATTCTATACTTTTAATAGCCATTGCAATGGCTGCCTCTTTTGTTTTGGCTCCACCAATAAAACCGGTGTGATGTACAAACACTAAATCCTCAATACCGACCAATTTTGATAGTTCTTCATCACGTAGACCTCTCCATGGTTCGGGTAGAAATTTGCGACCCAAAAAGCTATCCGGATTCAAAGGTACACCAGCTACACGCCAACTTCCAGTTGTATCAACAAAAACAATCAGTTTTGGTACACCCTCTACGTCGTATTCCTTTTCCAATTCTACCAAATGTTGCTTCCATGGACAGAATCGTGGCAATAATAAAATTTCTCCAGTCTTGTAGACAGTTTTAGCTGTCACCAAAGCTTCACGTACATATTCACGAGCCTTTATCCATGATCCACCAATGGCCAAAACATTATCCACAAATTCTTTGCCAGCGTATGCCATAGCTTCGTGGAAACGTTCATCGACATTGACATCAGTGCCTTCTTCTTCCCATGAGGGATTGAAACGACCCACACGACCTGATAGGCCAGTGGAGATTTTATACAATGGTTCAATGCCTTCCGGGCACATTGGTACACCATTATCGATGGCATCAATTTCGCTAATAAAATTACGATAGATTTGTACAAATGTCAGTTGTAAATTTTTGGGACTTAATGAAATGTCGGCATGCTTTTTAAGAATCTCATCAATAACACGTTCTCCATAATAGCAATACACCAAGCCAGCACTACTTAACCTGTGGGACACACAAAACATTAATTTTGGAATGGTAAAGAAAAAAGAAACAGTTTTTTACTCCCCCTACCTTATTTTATTAAACTGCTCTTCAAATTCAGGTCTCAGTGAACCCAATGTATGCTGAAATGATTTCTGATGATGATCATACCATTTCTTTTCATGATCAAACTCACCGCCCACATCCACAATAATATCACATTTCTCCTGTAGTTCGGCATCGTTGCGCGAACGAAAGATTTTGACATCTTGATATTCGGGCAATTGTTTTAACATAAAACAGGCAAGCACTTCGTCACAATGAAATGTCCCACTATGTGTTCCAATACATTTTGGCCCAGCAGCAGAATCGGTGCACAGACGTTTGGGACATGTGGCAGCAGGTGATGTTGACATGTTGATTTGCAGTAAAAACTTAGGTTGAAGTACTAAATAACAGAGGGGGAAATTTTGGTTATTTTCAGTTATAATTGCACAAGAAAATCCTTTTGCTTACACGTTGATGGCGATGGTCTGATGCTATTGTTGTTAACTAATGTCACTCTAAAGAGCGGCAAAATACATCTGGCTAAACTTCCCATTTTGATGTGTTGATGCTTACCTGTGCGACATTCAATGGGTGCTACTGTAATATCAGCGCATTTCTTGTGGCATAATTGTTTGTTAGAGAGGGTATTATGGATTTTGACAATTTTTTTTTATTATTTTTAATTTTGTGTTTTCGTAATTTGTATAAAAAACCTATTTAAAGGAAAAAATATCAGCAATGTGAAATTAGTTAAAATGTCAAATGGCAATTCTTAAAAATGAACACAACAAGCAATTAGATTTTACATTGTACTGGATATATTAAATCCAGTAGATCTAAATTATCAATTTCATTACATATATGTCTAATAAATCCTCATAGAGGAGGAGGTTAATCCAGTAAAAAGTTCTAATAGTACGTTTACATTTAACCGGATTTCGTTAACCAAGTGGGTTTCAATTGTCAATTACTTTCATATATGTCAAATAAATCTTTATAAAGTAGGTTAACCCGTTAAAAAGTTCTAATGTATATGCCATTTAATATAATTGCCTTTTTAGGAGCGTTTAGAAGATGCCTTCTATCGATAGGATATGTAAACTAGACTGGTGTTAAAATTATATAAATTTGATATCCAGCTGTTATTTGTTTATTATATCTTCCATAATTTTTGTCGTAATATTTGAATAAACCCTTTCATAATTTTGATAGGAATTACTTTCCATTAGGTCAAAAATGCGGAAAAAATCAGTTTTTAGTATCTGACATATTTTTGATAGACAATTGTTTTGAAGCATAATTTTAGGAGAACTGATTAATTGTTGATGCAAAATCAGGGTTGTTTTTGAAATTATCTCGAATTAGCACATGGTACAATTTAGGTGCGTTTAGACTATGCCTTCGAAATCGACTCGATTTGTTAATCGATGTACGAAATCCTAACTGATTAGATTAGTATTAAAACGAAATGAAGTGGATTTGTCAGCTGTTATTTGTTTACGTATACATACACATTTTACTGCTGTCACATTCTCTGAGACAGATGGTTAATCATTATTTGCATAATTTTGTTAGGAATTGCTCTCTATTAGGTCAGAAATACAAAAACACATTTATTTTTTTATTTTTTTAATTATAGCAATATTTATTACACATACAACAAAATAATTATTTTTCCAGCAGCTGACACATTTTTTGGCAGTTATTTTGAATATTTACTAATTTTAAAAATTTTTAAGCATACGTTAGGAAGAAACTTTTATTTTTTTGATGCATAAGCAGAGTTGTATTTGAAATTATCTCGATTTAGTACAGGATTTTGACCAAATCGAGATAATACGTGGATTTAATTTTGTATTGTAAATCGAGGTAAATTCAGGTCGATTTAGCAAATAAATCGAAATAATGTACATTATCATGATAAAAGTAGTAGTCTAAACGCGCCATAAATAGAGCTCGTTTAATTGAGCTAGTTGCTAATAAGGTTATCAAGGAAGATCAGCTGCAAATCAGCTGTTTCTTAAAATAGCTATAAAAATCAATTTTTATGAATTGACTCCATATTCTGAAAAATGTTATATTTATAAGGATTTATAGGTCGATTTGTCATATATCGGAATTATATATTCCATTACGATATGATGTATAATCTAAACGTGCTACAATTCAGGACAATTAATTATAAAAAAACATTTTTTTAATTTTTTCAAAAAAATTAATTATTCAAATGGTGAGGTACACATGCAACTTTTTAACACAACTCTCCTTTCGCTTTTTAATACCTTCCTCTCCTAAGAACTCAGTAGAGTTGCAGTAGAATTACATACAACAGTTGTTTGTGTAAACTCCGACTATGCATTCAAATTAAACTTTCCATCACCAGAAGCTATTAATAGCTTCTTTACAAAAAACCTTTCAAACCCAAATGTCTCTTGTGACAATTCGAAGTTCTTACGTTACCAGCGATACGACCCCAATGAGAAGTTCCACGAAGTCAGGCGCCAACGAAACGAACTTCTCATTGGGGTCGTATCGCTGGTAACGTAAGAACTTCGAATTGTCACAAGAGACATTTGGGTTTGAAAGGTTTTTTGTAAAGAAGCTATTAATAGCTTCTAGGGAGAATATCCCAACAAAAAACTAAGGGAACTGATGAGGATCAGTGGCGAGATCCGAAACTATAGTCTTCCCTGCCTTACCCCTCGGCGGACAATGCCATACATTCCCCACTAATAAATAGTTGTTTTTTATAAAAACAACAAACTGGGATTAAGCCTGACTATTTTGCAAAAGCAAAAGTTTTAAATAACAGCTGATCAGAAAATGGCTGAGTTGCAAAATCTTACTGAATAAAATTCTTTCAGTAAACTCCAGTAACTTTGTTGTTGTTCAACTGTCAAACCTGCTCTCCCACTTGACTCTCTTTTAATGGATTTTTGTGTAAACAGACAACATTTAGTAAGATTTGGTAACAATTGTTACCAAATATCAAGTTAACAGACAGAGCTATTACTTGACAACATTTGACATATGGTGGGGACAAAAACAAATGGTTTTGTTTTTATGGATCACCTTAGGCTACGTTTAGACTACTAAATCCACTCGATCTCAAATGTCAATACCATTGCGTATACGTCACGGTTATCCTGTTCACAAATCTAGTGGATTATATTTGACGTATACGCTATGGAATTGCCATTTACACAAGCCAATTTTTTAAATCACGCAGAAGGATCAGCTGATACTATCTGTGCTGTCAAAATGATTTTTAATTTAAATTTATCACATAAAAAGAGTGCAATTATATAAATTATTATTTATTCATTCCTTAAGTTCCCTTTTCATATATGAAGTGTGATCAAAGAATGAATCTGTATTTTCATTATTTTTAAAAACTATTTTTATTCATCAATTACCATTTTGTACACTTCGAAGAAATCCACCTACCCTTATGCCAGAGTATTTTTTTTTCCAATTCTCGAATAACTTCTGAATAGCACTTTTTGACATTATCAACAGCTGTTCATGGAGTAAATTTTCCCTTTTAGACATTTGTGAACTGTCAAAAACACAACTATCAATCTTACTCTCTTTTGTTGCAAATTTGTGTATTTAACAATATCCAGTATCTAAATGAGTACAAAATAAAAATACCTTAACAATCACACCTATTTTAGTATGTGAATTCCAGTGAAATATAACCGGATAAAACCGAATTTCATGTACCGATCTGTAAAATTATTATATCTACCCAGTCTTGTTATATTTAGAGATATGAAAAGACAGCCTTTATATTCTCATAGAAGACAATCTTTACTCGAGGATTGCGCCCTCTTTCAGGATAATTGCAAATTACTGCCTTCTCCCAAGTCCATATTTAAAAGTTAACTTCACTTTTATTTTTTTTTCGTAATGGAATTTAACTTTTTTTTTGCAAAACAATAACAAAAATATTTTGATGCTGACAAAAAACCCCGATCACAAAATGCGAGTTCGAAAATAATAAAATATCAACAGCAGCCAGCATTAACAATCAATTATCACATCTCGTCTAATTCGAAATCAAAGCATTTAATGACACACATACACAAAGGTGGTGATACAGAGACGTATACACACACATATATATAAAGTATATCAAGCTAGTAAAATAAGCGTTAAAAGCAAATATGAAATGTTGTCAATAATATATACGTACGTACGTATTCGTATTCCGATACAGGGGAGTTAAATGTTTTTGTTTTTATTTGTATAAGATTGTAACGAAATTTTGATTTTTTTGTAATTCTGTGACATAAGGAGAAACCCACCCATTATTTGTAGGTGTCAACGCGGAAGACCAGCTGATACTACTCGTGCTGTCAAAAATTTCTTCTATTTTGAATTAAACGTATGAAAACAACATGGGATGAATTCATTCACAATTATACTTTTTTATTTTAAAGGATACGATTTTTAATCGACTCGATTAACGATATCCAGAAATGCACCCTAATAGTACGTTTACATTTAACCGGATTTCGTTAACCCAGTGGGTTTCAATTGTCAATTCCTTTGAATATATGTAAAATAAATCCTCATAAAGTAGGTTAACTCAGTAAAATGTTCTAATGTATATACCGTTTAATTGTTTACACATACCTTTAATCATGATCTAAATGCGGATCAGCTGTTGTTTGTTAGTATACATACAAAATAAATAAATAAACCCTGCCGCACGACGATTTAAATTTGTATGATAAATCATGGTAAATTCAGTCTGATTAAGAAAATATACCCCGTTTCAGCCTTTAATGATGATTAGATGTTATATGTAAATCCGCTTTAAGGTTGACCTGCTTAATTAGTCATAACGAAAAATGTTTTAATAAAACACGTCATTTAGATTGTTAATTCCCTTGACTGAACACCCAATGAAAGTCGTATCTTCGTAATGTTTCTTTTTTTAACAGAAAGACCAGCTGATACTTCCTCATGCTATTTTCAATAAACCATATGAAAATGACATTAGAGAATTTAATCACAGTGTCATAACATAATATTTTTTAATAAAACTTTGCATTTTATATTGTAAATTCCCTAGACTCAACACAGTTTGCATTCAATTGAAACTTTCCCAATTCTACAAACTACTCGGCAATTTGTCATTTATCAGCTGATTCTCCCTCCCGCTGTCAAATGGCTTTGCATTTTAAACAAACCATTCGAGAACTATCAAGGTTTATTATTAAGGTCATCTAGAGAGACCAGCTGCAAAATTTTTGACATTTAACTTAAGAAAAAACAGCTGTTTTTCGATTCACATCTGGCCTTTTCGATAGACCTTGGAGAATTATATGATATCTTAAATGATCTTATGTGACATCTTAAATAGGTCTTGGCCGTATCTGCTTTTATAAAAACTCCTCATTTGAATTTTTGATTCGTTAATTTTACGCCAAAAATATTGATATCTTCGTAAAATGTCAGTTTTCATTCAAATTTTATTTTATTTGGCTTACAAACTATCGAATTACATGTCACGACAGATTTGTAAATCACACAGCTCAGCTCATGAAGCAATACTAAGGTGATGTATCAAAACAAAAACCTTTGTTTTTGTCTCGAACATCTGTCAAATTTTTCCTTATATTATTTCACATGGTTGGCAACACTGCACATCGAATTCAAGTAGAAATTACCTACTTTGAAAGTTAATCGTGGCATCAGCTGCACTAAATGGACTACCTATTCATTGTGCCATGGCTCAGCTTTTACTTCATAGTGCTGTCAAAATGTTCTCTATTTCCAATAAACCGTACGAAAAGGTACATGTGGGAATTCAATCACAATGGTAGCTTTTTATGTTTTTGGTTGACCTGTTAATTATATGTTGGTCAAATCGGTTGCCAACATGGTTGGCAACACTGCACATCAAATTCAATTAGAAATTATCCACTTTGACAGTTAATCGTGGCATCAGCTGCACTAAATGGACTACCTATTCATTGTGCCATGTCTCAGCTGTTACTTCATAGTGCTGTCAAAAATGTTTTCTATTTCCAATAAACCGTACGAAAAATACATGTGGGAAATTCAATCACAATGGTAGCCTTTTATGTTCTTGGTTGACCTGTTAAATATATTTTGGTCAAATCTGTTTTAATAAAACTTGTTATTAGGACGTGTTATAAGATTGTTAATTTATTAAAAATCAATGTTATCAAATCAAAATCAATTTATTAAATGTTGATATTATTTTTAGGTTTTTATTATGTCAAAACTGTTCATAATTATTAATTTTAAGCACAACTTTATGAACAGCTGATTTTCAGCTGATCTACCTGGAATTGAATTTAAATTAAACTTTCTTTGTCATATAAGCTACTTAGTTACCTGTCATTTACACTGACCAATTTTGTAAATTGTAAGATCTTTGTTTGACAATACAATTTGGCTTTGATCTAATTTAAACCAAATAAAAATCTTTCGGTACAATCTAATAAACATATTTTTGTTTGTTAGTAGCCGAAAAAAACATATTCACACTAAAATAGGCAGAAATTTTGGAAAAACAAGAATCATAGCGATATCAAATTTTTTCAGTTTTCAGTCGAATGCATACAACGTAAATGTTTGGAAGTGTTGAGAAGTGAATGTTGCTGTTCTGTGTGTGTGTTTTTTAAAAAGAGAGAAAAAAAACAAAGGAAATTCGATTCGAATGTAACGATTTCGGGAAAAAGCCTAATAATTAGTTAAAACAACTATTAAAAATACGATTCATGCGAAATGGCGGAAGCCAGATTACGACGAAATGCCGGTAGCCGTCATATACCAACAATGTAAGTTTCGCAAAAAACATATTCCTTTTGGGAATACAGAAAACAAACTAAAATGTGTGGGAATTTTATTTTACACTTGGTGGTGTTGTAGTTTTTGTTTTTTGCAATTATTTGTTTTTGAAAATTAAACACGTGATTAGAAATTCTCGTAAAATTTGCGGTCAATAAACAATTTTTGTGTAATTATTATAATAATAACAACAAACAATGCCGCTGACAATAGTTTCAATAAGAAAACACTTGTCTTGTTTTTAGTAAGGAAATTCGAGGTTGGTTGTGACAGTGCATGAAATATATTATCTCTGAATGCAACATAACCAATTGACAAAATCCAATTTAAACATAGTTTTCCCTGAAAACAACAAATGACACGTTTAGACTATAGCTTTTATCGTGGTAATGAGTTTTTTTTCTCGATTTAATTAATTAATAAATCCACGCCTCAGTTGGCCCTTGAAAAATATTCTTTAATAAATCCACGCCTCAGTTGGCCCTTGAAAAATATTCTTTAATAAATCCACGCCTCAGTTGGCCCTTGAAAAATATTCTTTAATAAATCCACGCCTCAGTTGGCCCTGAAAAATATTCTTTAATAAATACGCCTCAGTTGGCCCTTGAAAAATATTCTTTAATAAATCCACGCCTCAGTTGGCCCTTGAAAAATATTCTTTAATAAATCCACGCCTCAGTTGGCCCTTGAAAAATATTCTTTAATAAATCCACGCCTCAGTTGGCCCTTGAAAAATATTCTTTAATAAATCCACGCCTCAGTTGGCCCTTGAAAAATATTCTTTAATAAATCCACGCCTCAGTTGGCCCTTGAAAAATATTCTTTAATAAATCCACGCCTCAGTTGGCCCTTGAAAAATATTCTTTAATAAATCCAAGCCTCAGTTGGCCCTTGAAAAATATTCTTTAATAAATCCACGCCTCAGTTGGCCCTTGAAAAATATTCTTTTATAAATCCACGCCTCAGTTGGCCCTTGAAAAATCTTCTTTTATAAATCCACGCCTCAGTTGGCCCTTTATTCTTTAATAAATCCACGCCTCAGTTGGCCCTTGAAAAATATTCTTTAATAAATCCACGCCTCAGTTGGCCCTTGAAAAATATTCTTTAATAAATCCACGCCTCAGTTGGCCCTTGAAAAATATTCTTTAATAAATCCACGCCTCAGTTGGCCCTTGAAAAATATTCTTTAATTACTAAAACAAGCTCAATATACCTCGATTTACCTACCATACAAAATAAAATCCAATAAATATCACGATTTTCTCCAAGTCCTATGCTAAATCGAGATAATTTAAAATATGCTTAATCGAGATAATTTAAAATTCGCTTAAAAATTTGTTTATATGTTAAATAACTGCAGAAGAAAAATATATCAGCTAAATATATTACTATAATTTAAAATTACAAATATTATTGTGCATTTCTGGCCTAATGTAGAGCATTCTCTAACAATATTGAGAAAATATTGATCAGTCTAAACGCGCCTGAAATCGCGATAATTTCAAATACAACACTGTTTTTGCACCAACAAATGGATCACTAATCAACTTAATATGATTTTAATACCAGTCTAAACATCTTGGATTTGGTACCTTGATTTACAATCGATTTAGAAGGCTTAGTCTAAACGCGCCATTACATCAAATAATATATCTTCGTAAATTTTCAGTTTATAAACTTCTTAGTTAACTACTACTAAAACCTGTTCATTTCATAAATTACACAGAACGACCAACTGGTACTCCCCGCGCTGTCAAATTTTTTTCCTATATTCAAGCAGAACTTTTTAAAATATTTTATAATCTGAGACTTATTTTAACTTTATTTCCCATTAACTGCATGGCATAATTGCAGAAGGTTATCTCATTTGAGAATTTGATGATGACAACCCTTTTTGATTTGGAACCATCCACCAATCCATCGATTTTAAATAATATGAAAAATAAAGCTTAAAGCTTTTGATAGGCTTGATCATGAATTGTTGATTGTTAAGTTATGTAGCCACTTCGGATTTTCTAAAACAGCATGTTTGTTAATAAAATCCTACCTAGAGGTAAGATTTCAATATGTGGTCGCTAGTGGCAAACAATCTAAACTTTTAACTGTTACTAGTGGTGTTCCCCCGGGGGTCAGTGCTTGGCCCACTTCTATTTATAATGTTTATAAATGATATTGTTGATTTGGTCGTTTCCAACAATTGTCAGCCCTTTTCATTTGCTGATGATATTCAACTACTGTTTATGTGTGATGGTGCATTCCCTGATGTTATGCAAAGTGCTATATCGTTTGCTGTCTCTACAATGAATAATTGGATGTCTCTCAACAAATTATCGATAAATCCGAATAACACGAAAGTATTAAATTTTGGTCCCCGTGATGGGGTTGAAGTAATAGTCAAGTTCGATAACACTGAAATTGAATTTGTGGAGAGCATTAGATGTCTTGGTGTTGTACTGGACAGGGAATTGTTGTTTGAGTCTCATGTTAACTTGTTCGTTTCTAAGATAAATCACATATTGAGGAAGCTTTATAGTTCTGAGCTTTTCCTTGTTGTTGAAATGAGGAAATACATTGTGAAAATGTTAATTATGCCATTAATCTTATACTGCATTGAAGTTTTTTCAGGGACATTTGGTTATGTTATCAGGAAGCTGCAGATCGCTTTTAATAGAGTGATGAGGTATATATACTTATTAAAGCGTTGGCAATATGTTACCCCATTTGTCATAGACTACCTCGGCTGTACTTTGGCTGATTTCATTAGACATCGGTCAATACTGCTTTTTTATAAAGGTTATAATATGCAAGATCAGTTGTTTTACATAAATGAATTTCGTTTTTCCAGATCTCTAAGGAATCCACAGATACACATTCCAATGTTAACACCCTTTTTGGAACGATCATTTCTCGTCAGAGTTGCCCGGACGTACAATGGCTTGCCATTGTCTTTAAGATCTTTTAATTTTTCATTATACACGTTCCGAATGAAGCTTTTAGAATATTTTGTATAAAATTTTTCTTAATGTTTCCCATAAATATAAAAATATGCCACCCTATTTATCAATTTATGATCAATATTTTTAAAATTTTTTAAGTAGTTCCGATCCCTAAATTCTTAATATTTCCATTTGATTTAATTTTTATTCAACTATAACATGTATACAAACTATAAATATGTTAAGAGAGCTAGATTAGATTAGATTTGCGAGCGAAGTTAGCTGCAGATTACCTAAAAGACGTTTTTTTATGAAACGTGTACTTTAAATTGTAAAATACAATATTAATATATACTATAGACGACTTAAACACGAACTTTTGTTTATCACTTCTCCATCATATTTGAAAAACATATATTTAAACACACAAATTTTCTAAATTATCTTGCGTGAATGCAAGTGTCAAGTGCAAATTGGAATCTTAAAGTTTGGCGTATGTCAATTATATTTAATAATAAATCATGCTGCATATAAAGGCATTAGTTCCGTGCCAGAACCTAAAAGAATCTACTAATTTTACAAGTGTTGCAACTTTTTATTCGAAAGCCGTTCCTGAACCCACAAAACTTGTAATACATTGAATCAAATTTAAGAGAGCGCAAAACAAAATGGCATTCTCTTTGTAAACTTTTTACTCGAGAAATTTGTGTGAGTAAAAATGGTAAAAAGCAATGCCTACTTCTGATTGGTTGTTTTGTTGATTTTGAAGTATGGCCATCTAGATTTGCGTACCCGAACTTTTCAAATTATTTTGTAATCAAAAAAAAAAAAAAAAAATTGAAAATTTGGAAAAGATGTATCAACATCGGTTTTTTATTCAATATTTCTCATGGTTGGCAACATTGCACGTCGAATTCAAGGAGAAACCATGATGCAGTAATAAGGTGATGTATCAAAACAAAAACATTTGTTTTTGTCTCGATTATCTGTGAAATTTTTCCTTATAATATTTCAAATGATTGGCAACACTGCACATCGAATTCAAGTAGAAATTACCCACTTTGACAGTTAATCGAGACATCAGCTGCACTAAATGGACTACCTATTCATTGTGCCATTGTAGAAACTATGCACTTTGACAATTAATCGAATAGTCAGCTGCACTGAATAGAATACCTATTTATTGTGCTATGAAAATAAAAGTTGTAACGTCCTGATTTGCCTCAATTCTGTAGTAGAATGACAACCCATTCAGCTCGTTTGGCTAAAAACTGTAATTGGCTCATGTTTTTTTTTTGGCATATATGGAAAAAATTTAAAATAAAATAGTTATTAATGCGTTTCATTATTTATTATTTATATTTTCTCACAAATTTCATTGTGACTCTCGATCTCTAACTGAGATTTGTTGAAAATTCCTTAGAATTTTTTTTATTTTCTGCTGAAGAGCTATTATATATGGTGTGAATAATTTCAAGAGGTCTAAAACAATAATGTAAACAATACAACAACGAAAACAACAATAATACAAATTACAAATATCTACTTCAAATTGAACCTTGAGTTAAACGTTTTCAAGTTGAATGTACATCACTGACACTGGCTTCGTTGACTCCAAGATGCAGTGATGCAAAAAAGTATGCGTCATAATTGAGAGATTAATGTTTAAAGTCAACTGCTTTTTTTTCAAATCGAATGTCAAAAATTTGACAAATGTTCATATTAGAAGTCAAATCACAATAATGTTACAAACCAATAATAAGGTTATCCAGGGAGATCAGCTGTATATCAGCTGCCTCATAAGTTTGCCGCCAAAATGAATTGACGTCCATTATGAAAATTTAAACAAAGTCCAAATTTTTGACATTTGAGCTGACAGCTGACTTTCGTTAGATGGGCTACCTTATTAATTGATCTTGGCAGAAACCATGGCACAATATCATGATACAATAAATAGGTAGTGCATTTAGAGCAGCTGATGACTCGATTAACTGTCAAAGTGGGTAGTCTCTACTTGAATTCGATGGGCTATGTTGCCAACCATGTGAAATATT